ACAGGCACAGGCATGACTACATATATATATATGTATATGCTGGCCCTCCCAAGATCTACGTGTAGAGTGTTCCCGCTGTACTGTCCCTGATTTGGAGTGGCTGAGAACATTTTCCTGTATGAGCTCCTTGTTAAAATTCAATTCGAAATTAAAGACAAATCCTTCATTCCTGGATTTCTCATTTTTGGGTTGATTTTCGTCTATATGAATGCCTTTTAAAATCCAAATAGAAATTAAAAAGAAATCCTTCATTCCTCTATATGAATTCTTTTTAAAAATCAATTAGAAATTAAAGCACTATTACAGTCCAGCGACCTAGAAATACTACTACATTGTCTCTCCAATCTGGGGTATGGAAATACAAAAATTTAGGGGCGGTACAACACATTTGCAATCCAGGGAAGCAAAAGTGCTGTACTGTCCCTAAATTTTTGGTTCCCAAACACAAAAATTTGGGGACTGTACAGCACTTTTGCAGTCCAGAAACACAAGAGTGCTGTGCTGTCCCTAATTTTTTGGCTTTTGGTTGAAAAGTGCTGTTTTTGCTAGTGCCGTGCGCGCAACGCTGCTTGTGCGCGCTTTGGCGCCTGCCCTAAAGAGGATTCACTGAGCTTCCTTTTGATCAAAACATACCGCCAGTTAGTGTTAGAGGCGGTGTGGTCTAGGAATTCTTCAGGATAGAATCTGTGACAACACTCTTCCAACCAGTACCTACCTCTTCCTTTGCGCCTGCCAATAGATCTTATTCGGTCCTTATAACCACTACAAAAGACTACGTTATGCATAGGCTCTTGCATGTCGGCAAGGAAAACTTCAGAGAGCATTTTATGCTGCAGCTTTGCTGGACTAAGCTTTCAGAGGGTAGTTTGGGCTTACCCGCGTTGTGGTAAACTGTGATGTTACTGATCCTCGGGTAGTAAGAGGCTTTAATACCAATAATTCTCCGCAGGAACCTAAAATCAAAGCCATCTATGCGTTGTAGATGCTTATCAGTTAATGTAAATGCGTCAAGACCATAGGTGAGAACTGCGGGGAATGTGGCTTGAAAGATGCGGAGTTTAGTTTTTGAGGGGATGGAGCTTTTCCATACCAGTCTTAATTTCTTATAGGCCTGTTCAGCTAGCGCACTCCTATGTTTGAAGGCTGCCCCAAATGACTGCTTCCAGGAGACCATGGAACCCAAGTACTTGACCTGTGTACTAGTTGGAACTTTGGAACCATTCAGAAAATACATAGTTGGAGCGGTGTGGTCTGGAGGATATAATAACTCCTTCTTGTCGGTGTTCAGAGTCATCCCATATAGCGCGGCTTCCTTTTCCACTTGGTGAAGTATTGACTGCAGTTGCGGTATGGTCACCCCTAATAGCAGAATATCGTCCGCGTACTCCACATCAAAGATAGGCCTGTTAACCGACCATGTATTGGTGGGGATACCTGCCCTAAGTAAAGCCTGATCCACGTCTTCTAATAGGACCGTTAAGACCATGATGAAAAGATACGGGCTTAGTGGGCAACCTTGTCTGATGCCCGCACATACTGCCCCCTGTGCTAAATAAAATTGAAAAGTGCTGTACTGTCACCAAAAAACCTTTAAAAAAAAACTATTCTCCAGCAACCTTTAGGCTTGGAGGCCCTGAAGGTCTCTGGAGAATAGGTTTTTTAGGTTTTTTAGGGACCGTACAGCACTTTTCAATGAAAAACCAAAAAAATTAGGGGCAGTACAGCACTTTTGCAATCCAGGGAAGCAAAAGTGCTGCACTGTCCCTAAATTTTTGGTTCCCAGACACAAAAATTTGGGGACTGTACAGCACTTTTGCAGTCCAGAAACACAAGAGTGCTGTACTGTCCCTAAATATTTGTGTCTGGGAACCAAATGTTTAGGGACAGTACAGCACAAAAGTGTTGTACTGTCCTTAAGCTTTTGGTTCCCAGACACAAAAATTCAGGGACAGTACCGCACATTTGCAGTCCAGAGACACAAAAGTGCTGTACTGTTCCTAATTTGGAGTGGCTGAGAGCATTTTCCTTTATGAATTCCTTTCAAAATTCAATTAGAAATTAAAGAGAAATCCTTCATTCCTGGATTTCTCATTTTTGGATGGATTTTCCTCTATATGAATTCCTTTTAAAATTCAATTAGAAATTAAAGAGAAATCCTCAAT